AGAAATTAATGAATTGAAAACGACTAATAATTTATTAAACGAAGAAATAAATTCTTTAAAAGTTAACAATGAATCTTTATTATTAGTATCTAAACAAGATAAAGAATTAGCACAAACATTACAAAACCAATTAGATCAATTATCTGAACAATATTGTTTAGAGAATGAATTAGTAAGAATAGAATAAATAAATAAATAAATTTCTATTTTTTTTTCTTCTAATATACATATTTATTTATTTATTTAGGCACAAAACGAAATCAAATCATTACAAAATCAATTAAATGAAATGAATTTAAGTCAACAAGCTTATATGGCATTAAAAACTTCATTTATAGAAATTGAAAAACGTTGTGTTAAACATCAAAAAAGTGAAATTGAAGTTAAAAAACAATTAAGTGCTTATAAAGATTTCGTTGTAAGTTATCTCATTCTTTCTTTTCAGTTAAATTCTTTTGAAATTACAATCATCAATAATTTTCATATTTCATAGGGCTCATTTCATAGATGTTTTTTCTCTTTAAAAAACTTTGAGCTCAATAGAGTTTTTTATAAATCACTTTTAGTATAGCTGTATCGAACAGATATCGATTCCTGATGTGTCTTTTTCTTTTGCTCTTATTATCTCATTGAGAAGTGTATAATGAAACTTTGTTAAAAGTTAACAACGGCATATATCACTATCGCTAGATGAAATTGTATGACTATTCGTTAGTTTCATATCGATATGGGTTTCAAACCGATCGGTTTAATCTTGGGATATAGCAATTTTCTTTTTGAAAAGCATCTTTATGACGATTTTTTCTTCTTTTTTTTTTTTTTTTTTTGGTTTTGAAATTATCGAATTATTATTACTTTTAGAATGATTTACAACTTGAAGTTCAAGATTTAACTGAACGATTAACAGCTGGTGCTGAAGAATATAAAACATTATTTCGAAAATATACTACACTTGAACGTCAATTAGAAATGAATCGTTCACAAGAAAAACCAACAACAAACAATTTAACGAACGAATCCATTTTTGATGAAGAAGCAATCGAGTCAATTCTTCGTAATGCATATGAACCTCAACAAGTGAAAACAGAAGATCAAACTAATGAAGAAAATAAAAATACATTATTACCAAAACCAATTAATGATGCTGATGGTGAAATACGTGAATGTCCAATGTGTTATTGGGAATTTCCGCAACATATGACACTCGATGGAAAAAAAGAACATATTGAGCATCATTTTACATCAATTGAATAAAGAATGATGAATTATGTATATAAAATATGCAGCCACTTATTTATTAACATACTCTCGTTCTTTCGATACTCATTTATCGTTTTATTTTTCGTTTTCTAGAAGTTTTTGTTCTATTTAGACATCACCATGCGCATTATAATGTTTTTTTTTTCACTTTTCAATTCTTTTTGCTTTCTTCAGTAAAATTTAATGTCATTTGTAATTATTTACTTCAATGCATGTAAACAAGACTTTATTATAATGAAACAAAAAAAAGAAAGAATCAATAAAATTGACATTAGAATTTAATCCTTGTGTTTCAATTGATCAAGATTTAATGATATACTTTTTAAAAATTCAAATAAATAAATATGAATCATTCTATTTATAATCTTATGACAAAAAGACCTACTATATTATCTCGAGAAAAAAAAAAGGAATGTTTGATCACGTGTGAGAGAAAAGTTTTTAAAGATGATGTTTGTTCACTTTTGATGATGAGAATTTCGTACTGTGCTTAGCAATTTTTTGTCTCAGTTTTTGTCCGAGAATAGTAAAATAATTTTTGAAAATTAGAATAAACTTACTTGTTAACGGAAAATTTTTAATATTGTAATTCGAAACTAAAAGTTGATTTAATTTTCGTTTCTCCTAACTATTTATTTTGAAAAATCAATAACCATTTTATGTCGAAAGAAACTCTTCAAAGAAAAAGTTTTGACTCCAACAATTTTAGCATGTTTTAAAAGAAATTTATAGGATAAACAAAAATCTATTGTTCACTAATGTTCACCGAAAATATTAACTCACAAGTTTCTTTCAAACTAATTTTTGAAAATTTTTCAAAGATTATTCCACTATGGTCCAACAAAAACAGACAAAATTTCTGAGATCACATTCGAAAAGGAGAGCTAAGTTTTCGACTCCAGATTTAATCAATTTCATTAAACCTTATAAAAAAAAACATATTTGCTTTACTATTTAATTGCTATATTTCGTAGTCCTGAGCACAAGGTCATAGTACGAAGCAGCATGAATTTAGATCATACTATGAAATGTAGCAACTAATTAAAAATCTAAAATTTTATTATTGCGGTTAATTGAAGTGCAATGTGAAAACTTGATAAATTGTCGAAAAAAGCAGAAAATGCCTGTCATAACTCATAGATTTTGATTAGTTGGAAATACTATCTAGCAGTTCACAAGTGAAAAAAACATCTTATCTAAAAACATTCCGATCGTCTGTTATTTTTAATTAAAGCATGAAATCATTTAATAGGATAATAAATCTATTCATTATGTTTCAGTTTTCTTTAATGATTGTGTCATTATTTCTAAAGCATCATCTAATGTTTGTCCATATTTTCTTTCTTCAATTATTTCATTACCTAATGGTGTTTTTTCAGCAATAAATTGATATGTTTCAGCAGCTCCTTGAAAGATTTTTTCAGATAAACCAATATTTTCAAATGTTTTTGCAATTTCTTTCATTTCACCAATCCATCGAGCTGCTTTTGGTGGCATATGTGGAATGGATTTATTTAATTTTTCAAATATATATGGCATACTTTGTTTTAATTCATTGAAAAATATTTCTTCAAGTCCATAGAATTTTGCTGTTATACATGATTGAATAGTTATTGCAGTTATACCTTTACCTAACGAAGCATAACACATTTTTAATGTACTTGCTTGACCAATTTCATGTCCTATAACACATACTTTTATTAAATTTGTATATTGAAATAGATCTGCTATTTTTTGTGCATGTTCACCAGATAAATATAATGTTGGCATGTGTTCATGAGAACCCGGTGGTAAACCAATAATACAACCATCAACAAAATTTCCATATGGAAAAAGTGTACTTATAGAACAGACTGTTTGTGGTGCTATTGCATTCATATCAACATAGATAATATGTTTATTTTCGTTTAGAAATGGTGCAAAACGTTGTGCAAGTGAATTTGCTTGTGATGGAACAAGAATAGAAAAAATAAAATCAGCTTGTTGAATAATTTCTTCATCTGTTTTAACATCAATAATACCAGCTAAATTTGATAATTTTTTTGTACGTTCACTACGATCTGTTAAATTCGTAATTATACGAAATTTATTTTTAACTGAAGAAAGAAGAGCTTGACCAATAGAATGTCCCTTGAAAATTAAAATAAATACGAAATCTAAACAAAATTTGAACATAAATCTCTCACCATATCACCAGGACTCATTATAGCAATCGTTATTGGAGTTTTTTCGGTCATTTTTAGTTCGTATGCTATTGAGTAGACAGTAAAATATTTTTATGCTTTGTTGTCGTTCGTTTGCAAAAATAAAACTTACAAAATATCACGTGGAAAGATTTTTTTTTCTTTTCTTTGACTATCGTTACTGATAGGATGATGTTGTTATTAAATCTATTGTATGCAAAGTGCAAATATTTTTCGATTTAAATTTATTATAAATAATCATTTGTTTCGTCCTTCGCGTTACAAATCTTAGCAATTAGTATTTTATCCAGATGTTTATTTCAGTCGTGGGCGATTTCAAACTGCATTAAATAAAACACTCATTTTTGGGAGCATAGACACATAGTACATGCTACAATAACCACCAATGTCGGAAGGGCCAATCTGCTCCTCCAAGGGATGCTGCGTCTTTATCCTCATGATATCCTAACAATAAGCTTTTAAATCATAAAGACAATAAGTTTGAACTATTAGTTACACTCATGATAGACTCATTCACTCCGACTTTTTCATTAGTGAAAATATGTAATATAACTATTAGTTGATAAAATAATTTTCATATCTATTTTTGTAATGATATCTAAAGTATATTGAATGATTATGCTTAATTTAGTAGTAATCCTATCGAGTTCAGGAAGCTGATATTCAACCTATTTAAATAATAGTCTGTTTTCATTCCTGTGTATTACTTCAATAGATATGCATTTAAAAGCATACAAAACATATTTGTGTGGATATCATAAATTCACAACGCATATTGTTCGACTCGGACGAATTCATCTATTTTGCGTTATTTAACTGTCTAATCTTCAACGGTATATGACTAATAGGCAAAGTAATCATGTTAACAACACAAAGAAAGAAATAAGAGAAAGTAATAGATATGAGAAATGAAAAATGAATGATAGAAACTTTTAAGATATTCTATAAACCATAAAAAAATTTCTTTGTATTCATTGCTACAACAGAGTCATCGATATAGCTGTGCGATATCTTATAATTAATTGTGAATCTTATTGATTTTTATCTGATATGTAATCAAATGGCTAAATTATTTTCATAATTGAATCTTCAAACTAATTATATTTCATATTTATGCAGAATGTATCTATGATATTCGTGCTAAAAATAAAAAAACAAAAAACTTCAATATTATGAAAATGAAATTTTACACAATAAAGTTTCAATACAGCTAAATAATATTTAGCTTTTGTTATATTCTCTAACAGGATCATTGGTCTTTTTATTAAGTACTTTAAACATTTCTGGAAACGTTTAAGATCTAATATAATCATGTGATAAGTTTGTTCAATACTATTTGCTACAGTATGACTGAATTATAAACATTCTCCATGAATACTTCATGAGAAGAAATAAAAACAATAAAATAATAGATTTTATTCATCATTAGAAAAAAAGCGAGAAGCGGAAATTTTTGTTTTTCTTTGCTTTACTTTTCCTTAATTTTAATTTTTATTAAACTGTGATTTCAATATAAATCTTCTTTGTTTCAAAAATTCAATTGACAAAAGCTGATAATGTCAAACCAACAAAAATCATAATGAAATGAACTTGAACAAGAGGTGCACTGTTTGATGTAGTACTGATTGGTTGCATTGAAGAAGAACTTTTCCTTGGTGTGCTTTTTGAACTAGAATCCGAGTTGCATTCAACTTCACATGGAGGTGAACCTTGACATCCTTTAACATGATTCGCACAAAAAAAACCTGTACAATCAGCACATGAAGGAAGATGAATTGCAGGTGTTTGGCATGTATGTGCTGAACCATGAAAACAACAAGTACAAGTATAACTGTTTATTGTGGATACTCCAACAGTTAAAAATATCAATAGAATAAGCGCCAACATGTTTCTATGAATGATAAAAGATACCATATCATTGCTAGTCAGTTATCTTGTATGAAAAAAGAGGCAAATATGAAACTTTGAAAAACAAAAAAGATATCAGAAAAATAAAGTCAGTAATTGAGAATTAAATTCATTACACTGATTGTTGTTAATCCAATAAAACAACTTAATGAAAGTATTCTTGTATTTGAATTATTACATAATTGTGAATTGCAACAACAAATGATTCCTTTAATACCATTATGAGTAGATGATTTACATTTGTTTTTAGTACATAAACCGTCTGGTGCAGAAGAATGGATCACTATCGAATCATGGACTTTTGTTGCTTTTAAATTTCTAAGAAAAAACAACAACGTTACAAATAAATGTCATCATTGATACATATCATACACCACCTTGATGGTGATGGGAATGACATAGCACTTGTTTCATTGAATGGATCAGAACACTCATGTGCACAAGTGTAACATTGATTTCCATCAATGCTGCCCGTAAAAAAAAGACACGAGCATTTAGAAATGATGAAACATTAGTGACAAACTAGGAAAGTAAAGTAAGAATATCAATACAACACTCAGTAATAATCTCTCCATAGGATTCAAAAAATATGTTGAATATGTATTTGTCTAATGTGTAGACAATTTTATTACATATATATATAGGTGTATTATCATTCATAAGCAATTATTGCTACTTCCTCGATTTATTGAGAAGTCATCTTGATGCAACTATATCATATTACTGTATTATCAGAACAAGCATGCTTACATAGACAAAGATAGAGAAGCGAAAAGAAGAGAAAAAGAAAGAAGAAGTACGCCCATAATGATAAAATAAAAATGGAAGTAGATCAATATATGATTGATAATTAAGAAATGCAATGACATTGACTTTCGGAAAAACGAGAAGGTTTTCACTTGTGAGTTAGTACGACCGATAATGCAAAAACAGATTATTTTTTTACGGTTACGAAACGTGTGAAAATGAAACAAAGATCATGTCAAAGTTCCTCCAGTTAGAGACTGCTTAGTGTGTAGAACTGAAATATGATTTTTTCCGGACAAAAATCATAAGCGCAACTTTTGAGTCAGAGCTTTTCAGCTTATCTACCAGCTCCTAGCCAGCAGAGTCAACGGTCAAAGGATAGATTGATTTAACAACCAAAAGTAACACACACAAGACTTCTTTTTCAAGTAGTATCTTCAGTAATGTTCAAGTAGGAAAACTTATAACATTTTTGATATCGTGTAAACATATATGACTCCGGAACTTTATATTGATGGAATTACTACTGAGAACATACTGTTGTAGACAATAAACTATCATAGAGTTGGATGTTTCATAACAGAAACCAAAAAATATAAAGATTGATAAGAATACATGAATAGCACGGTAGTCATAAATCGTGAGATTTGAAGCATGAATGTAGAGAAAATTACCAAAAAATGCAAAACTTTTGAAGAAATCATGATTTTCAACTATGAAATGCACACTAAGCTACTATTAGATATCTATGAACAATTGCCGAAGTCTTTTATATTTCTTACTTATTTGATCATTTTTCTCTACACTTATTGTCAAAGCAACATCATTCATGACTACCTAACTCGCCATTTATGCTTATTATTCTGTACGATGTAAATGTGAGGGTCATCATTTTTCGTTCATTTACATTCATATTAACACGATAACAAAAACGACTCGTCTCAAGCATAGTATCATTGTTTGTAAGAATGTTCCAAGCTAAGAGCGACACTATTAACTCATGTTTCTCAATCTTCTTTGTAGAAATATTTTCCGAAGAGTAGCATATGTCACAGAGTGTCCTCAGACTATTCAGTAATCGTTTCATATGATTAAACCGTATCTTCATGACACATTTTTTTGTCTCTTCTCTATTCTTCAGAATTGATCGGATTTTTCCTTTTATTTCTGATCATTGGGCTTTTTCCTTTCGTGTCATCCATTTGTTATTAATCATTCATGGAAGTTTCCTTCCTTGAATATTTCCATCTTGTTCGTTGTCCTCTACATAGAACTTGATGAACTCTTCTCAAATATGTTGTTATGTGAATTAAACTAATAGACGATGTATAACCCATATAAATATTAGGATAAACAATACATGAAATATTTCATGTCATGAATAACAATATTTATTCAATTTGCGTATTTGATAAACTTTGTATATGCCGAGACAAAATGATTCATGTATACGTATAGAACGTTGTTTTGATGTTAGAGAAACATTGGTTGCAGTTTATACCACCGAAGTAAATAGAGCAGTTGTTTGATATTATACATGCGGGGAAGGAATCAAGGAGAAAAGACCCAAAAATGGAAGGAAGTTTTTCCTTTGGGAGAAAGTGGCTAATTTTCAAAGAAAATTATTTAAAAAACGTAATTTTTCTTTGTAAAATGCAGCTAATTTTTAACGAAATCTTCATATATAATTTCTCTTTCAAAAAACCAGGGGAAAAGTTGTTTTTTTTTTACACAGATTTCTTACATTTTCGCTATCAAAAGTAAAGAAATCTGCTAAACAATAGTTGACAAAATTTCACGGGGAGTCAGGCTAAGCGCAAGTAAAAATTTAGAAGAGGAGAACTTTCAACCACCCCGCTCTCCTCATAGTCGGTTGCCCTAGAAATACTGATTGGTTTTACATTAATTTTAGATAAAGAATATTTCTTCGATTGTCATAAAGTTTAATTCAAAATAAGCAATGATAACAAACATACACCAGAAAAGTTCCTTTTTGTTTGTAAACACAAAATAAATATCTGTAGATAAGCGATCCCATAGACATTAGAGCCAATCCAAATACATTTCTGCATACGCAAGATAATTTTTTTCGTTATTGTCGTAATTATGAATCAGCATATGTTGGAAAGTTTTTGCAGCTAACAAGATTCGTCATGTGCTTAGAGTGCACTCAGTTTGTTTTAAAACTTATTTCGTCTTTTTATATATGTCGTAATGTAGGAAAAAACCGTAAAGACATCTGTTGACAAGTACAACTCGGAAGTGCGTATGAGTGGTCGTTGGAAATCAAATGAAAAAGTTATTATCTTTTTTGTTTCAATGGCTTTAGTGATACTGTATAAATAAGCATCGATTACAATGCTTTTTGTTTACGTGCACCTTTTACAATGTCGACATATATACTTTGGCTAGATGCTAACTCCAGTTCAACTGTAAGTTTCCGGGAGAAGCTTTTGCAATATCGATCGGTACAAATCTTCAATAATGCAGATGACTGTATTGAATACATAAAATCTCATACAATGCAAAATTTCTTTCTTGTTACTTCTGGCTCTCTTGCAGAATATATAGTACCACAAGTATGTCAATATGCAAATATTAAACAGATATTTATTTTTTGTGCGTCAATTACATCACATGCAGATTGGGCACTTGATTATACTGATCGATTGTTAATGTTCGATCATCCAGATGATTTGTTGGAACGTTTATGGCTCGAAATGGAACGATATTTTCGAGAACAAGCTCAGGAATGTATCCAGCAAGCAGACGATTTACAAGAACAAGCACAGAAATACAAGCAGCCGCCATGTGGATAAAGATTGCTTCTTCTTTTTTTTCTTATCATAAACAGTACACGTTACGAACGTAGAAAAAATGTAGCAGTTTGAAACTTCCCTTAACAATAATAAACAAGACATGATTTCTGTTTCTTCTTAGGAAAATCTAACGTAAATAGCGGCACGATTTGTGTTCCGTATGCATGTTGCTAGAGAAAAAGGAGTGCTCATCGAGATTCGAAATGTGACAAATCTATTTCAGTCCTTAGAGCAGGAGCTGTTCAAACAGCTTCACGTCCTTTATATTGCAAGAATTCAACAATTCATTTGTTACATCAGTGGAAGCTGGTTAAACTAATGATAAGTTAATAATTCATTTGCAAGACTAGGATAA